CTTTATTTCTTCTTTTTGGATGATTAAGACACAAAGGATAGAGGATAGAGTCTTGACAGTCCGACACTGCATATATCGGCTTTTGATTCACGTGGTAAATAATTATCTCCAGATTAACAGCCAGGTGAAGGCCAAATTAGTGTTTTAAAAGAGAAGGTTCGAGCATTTTAACGAAATTAGCCAATTGCAGTACATTGACCCTGGATCTTAAGAATCGCCTCCTTACCCAACACGACTCTAACTGTTGTTCTTCAATAATACTCCGCTGCCCGTGGTATTTTCAACTTTCTTCTCGGTGTTTGGAAATGTGGTCAAACACGTTCTTTCGTGTTTGATATGTTACGCCATACACATTGAGCGAATCTTGACTCTTAACTACATTTGAGTCGCAGTCGATGTGTTGTCGAACCTTTCAACAATTAAGGCTAGGTGACTGGCAATTAAGGTGACTGTTGTGGATAATGTTAAGTAATGAATGCTTTACATCCTTTACATGTGAAATTCACTTCAGGCCCTAATATGCTAAAATAAAGCTATTAATGAGAAATAAACTTCTCAAACTCATTAATAATTTATCAAACTTAAACAAAGGAAATCAAGATGGTGATGGTGTTTGGATATCCGATCTTAATTAGGCTGGATTTTTACGATTTCTTCTTAGGTTTAGTTTCGATTGAAAAGATATATCAGACGCTCAAGACAGCGTTTACCACATTTTCAAACAACTCGAGGTTCGTCAAAGATACTCCGCTGTGTGTCGTATTTTCAACTTTCTTCTCTGTGTTTGGTAATGTGCTCAAGCACGGTCTTTTGTGTTTGATATACTACTTCACTTACTTCTAGAATGAAGGATACAACCTTGACACTGCATATATCCACTTTTGATTCATTTTGTAAATATCTTATCTCTAGAAAACCCGTGTGTCAGATCAATAGCCAGGTGAAGAGCACATTAGCAATTCAAACGAGAAGCTTCTCGTAAAAGTAATTGTTGCTGTCGAATTAGTTGTATTCCGAACATCTGTTTCTCAGCCGGAATATCTCATTAACCGAGAACTGCTTTTATTTAAGGCCAATCTACGGAGTCTAAAATCAAAAAAGTTAACATCACCACCACTATTGGCTAACGTCATCTTCAGATTCTTAAACCGTAACCTCAAGCAAGTGAAAATGAATCATTTCCTTTGCTTCAAGGTAAGACATTATTCCGAAAATAGAGATAACATTTGTACAATCGTTGTTCGTGGTGATGTCGGAAAAAGTGTTTTTCATAAATGAGTGCTTTAGGTTGAATACAAGCGTGGTGTGGCAACAATATTACTTAAAGAAATTATGTCCAAATACATTCTTAATCAACCAAAAAAAAAGGGTATCTTCGCAATGGGTTGAGACTTTCAACAAAATTAGCCGTTTAAAATACTCGACAATACGGTGACTCTGCAACCTGAGCGACATAATTCTCGGCTCCTTACTCAACATAACTCTGCCCATTGTTTAGCCCGTGTTTCAATCTCACGTCATGCAAATTCAGCGGTTCTTGAACCTTAACAGCGTCTGAGTCGGAGTCGATCTGGTGTCGTAATCTTTTTGCAATTAAGGCAGGCAGTTTCGAAGCACGAAAAAGAAATGG